ATTTGATTAATTTAATTTGTATATATTTTGTTGTATTGCACTGCAGAGGGCGTGCTGGTGGTTCAGAAGAACCCTAAGCTAGAGCGTCACCCAGAGATTCCTGTTCCTAATCTTCATGTTATGATGGTGATGAAAACATTGAAATCAAAAGATTTCTGTGAGGAGATGTTCAACTGGCAGCATAACTACTACACCCTCAAAAACGAAGGAATGGAATTCCTAAGAGATTACCTCAGATTACCACCCACTGTATTCCCAGCTACTCTCACCAAAAAAACTACAGTACGCGCACAACGACCAGGCGCAGAAGGAGAGGGTGCAGGCGAAACAGAGAACTGGAGAGGCGTAAGTTTATTTCTTCACTATACTATAAAACTATATATTTTTTTTTTAATTTTTCATGTTTAATTCATGCACTTTTTATATTTTTTCTCTAGTTAACACAGCTGCATCAGCTTTTGTTTTTTCTGTGTTTCTGCTTTTCTTTTTCTGGCTGCAGGGAATGGGTAGACCCAGAGGACGCCCAATGGGCGATCGCTCGGGGGAGGGCCGAATGGGGGGCGATAGAGCAGACAGGCCGCCTCGCTACGCTTAAACTCCTAGGTTATCTGCAGCTAGCTAGCTAGCTAGCTAGCTAGCTAGCTGTTTCTACGTAGATAGCTAGCTAGCTAGTTAGCTAGCTGGGGGCGTTTGTTTGTTTTCTTTTTCTGCAATGAACAGTAAACTAAACAAATTCTCCTCTCACTCAGCCCGCCACCATGGCGTTTAGTCCTCAGCACGGTTACTTCATTCAACTACAGCCACTGCGACCCAGCTTATATATGCAATATATATATATATATATATATATATATATATATATATATATATATATATATATATATATATATATATAATAACACACTATCAAGTGCATACTATGTATATATAGACTAGGTGTATATATGTATATATATATATATATATATATATATATATATATATATATATATATATATTATATATATAT